GCTCTCTTGTTCATGCCATCTGTTGCCACGTGACACCCTGTGTTGCTGTGGAGTCACTACCAACAAGGAGGCCCTCAGTAGATATGCCCCCTGGATGGTGGACTTCCCAGCCTCTGAAACTGTAAGAAATAAATTTCATCTCTTTGTAAATTGTCCAGTTTCAGGGAAATTTACATTATAAGCAACAGAAAATGGACTCATACAAAGGCTATTTAGTTAAAGTCCTGTGTATCAGGAATTTCTCTATCATCTTTTTAGATGTGTAGCATTGGGAAACATGAGCAAAGTCCTTTAGAAAGGGCTGCAGTGGAGGATTTCCATCGAATGTACCCATATCCCTCTCTGCTACCTATACTCTTATCTAAGCTCATGGCTTTGATCTTCACCTGTGGGTCTGACTGAGCACAGACCCTTCTCACCTGCCTTGTGGATACCATGTTTCCAGAGGTAAGTTCAGTAATCACAAAGCAGAGATAATCTTCTCTCCCAATCTGTTCTTTTAGTGCTGCTTATTTCTGGGAAAGGTGGGGAAACTTTTTCTTTTATAGCTTATAATTTTAGGGTCATGTAAGTGAATAACCATTTAAAAGGATTTTTTTTGGCTTGGCTTCTGGGAGGAATATAAAATATTGAACTTTTTCATTAAAAAGAGAACAACCTTGATTCAATGAATATCAAGTAGTGAAATAGTATTTTAGTCCCATCTTGACCAATTGTTACAAAAAAAAGTCAGGAAGGAAGAGGAAAAGAGAAGTTGAAAGGGCCTTCGCAGTATCAAAGAGACAGAGGGCTGAAAAAGAGACCTGAGAAGGAAAAAAGGAGAGAGGGAAAGAGAGAGGAATTTGGCAACCCATAGATGTGTTAGCTTTCTTTTCTTCTCTACTTGTGTAAATGGGGAACATGAAGCCCATAGAAAATTTTTTTTTCATTTGTCCTAGTTTTATTTATAAAAACAGTTATTTCAAGAAACAGTTATTTTCTGTAGCATCAGTTATTTTCCATAGCGTGCAAAAGCCCTTTCTCCAATTTGTGCATGCTAGGCATTGAGGTTTAATAAGATTTTCATAAGTAAAAGAGGGGAGAGGATATAGCTGATGAAAGAAGAACTTTGACTATTTCACTGTTTTTTTTTTTTTCACTCTTAATTATTTGGCTTTCATCTGATCTTTAGTACAAAAGTAAGACACAGGTTTTTTATTCTGATGTAAAATCCTGAGACCTAGAGTTACTACTTTTTTTCCCCACTTCAGTGTGTGTTTATTTATTTAAAGATAAGTTATTATACACACACGTGGGGTGTAGAGTTGACTTTCCGTAGTTGTGTACGATGTGTGGTGGTCAGATCAGGATAGTTAGCTTATTCATCATTACAGTATGTAATCATCCCTCTCTCCCTCCCCTCCCTCTTCCACCTCTAGTAACTACAGTTCTTTTCTCTTCTTCTAAAAGTTTAGTGTGTTATTGTGGTTGTCTCTTTCTCTCTGTTTATTATTTATTTATGGGTTCAGCTTCCACTTATGAGTGAGGACACGTGGTATTTCCTTTTCTGCACCTGGATATAATTTTCTCTAGGCTTATCCGTGTTACTGCAGATGACAGGATTTCATTCAAGCCCGTAGACATTGAGTACTTTGGTCAAGATCACAAAGAGGGGCAACCAGGACTGTATTCCAGGATGCTGGGCTGCGGTATTCTTCCCTTTGTACCACGTGAAGAAAACACTATTCAGAACTTTTCAAATCCTTGGGGGGGGGGAGCTGGAAACAACTGAAAACAGCAATTAAAAAAACCCCATCAAAGCTCTGATAACTCTTGTCTAAGAGAGCCTCTCTTGCCTTCTGGAAATAACGCTGTGTGAGAGCTGCGTCACTGCAGTGGAGGGTGTCTCTGCCTGTGTCTCTTGCATGTTCCTCGAGCTGATGGCTTCCTGTGTTTAGAATTGAGCATGGCTGTATTTCATCGAGTTTGTATTGAATTGTACTCTGTATCATTGCTCAAGATAATCTAGCCATTTGTCTTTTTAATAATGTGTTCATTTATTCATTCTATAATTGTTATTATCTATTACATACCAGGCACTGTGCTTAGTTATGGGATTCCAACTAGTATGTCATTGCCCTAAAGGAGTTATAGTTCATGGTGGGACGGTTATAGGAGAAGTAATGCTGCTGCAAAGACTCGTGGGGCAGAACCGGGTTGAGGTACGTCTCATTTGGCAGTGGTCTGGAATTATTGACGAAAATCCCTCAAGGATAAATTGGAATTAAGTTCCCAATTGACTTAGATCTCCATGTATATAATTACTTTACATAGATGGCTAGAGATAATTTAGTCTCCTACCTAAGTAGGCTTGCCAATCAGGTGGAAATTGAACCCTTCAGCCCTTGCTGGTTTCCGTATGTCTTAGCCTGGCTTTTTGAAATTTGAGCAGTTAGAGGAACTGGAAGGATCTTTAAGTCCAGTGCTTGTTAATTTGTGGCATCCTCTAATAGAAGCTTTGAGTCCATTCTTATTTCAGTTACTTTAGTTCAGCTGTGGCATCCTTCCTTATAATATTCCTAAATATAATGCAAGTAACAGTTCAGCCTGGGGAAGTTATTAATCTCACCTTCCTTAACTTTTTCACTTTCTTTCCCAAGCCAGTTTTACTCCCTGATTGAAAAAATTCTTTAATCTGAAAAGACACCAATGAATTCCATTTAGAAGTACTTGCTGGAAAACACTTTATTATGTTCTTACTGGAAGGAATAGGTCTCAAGTAGATAGATAGGTGTCATCTCAGACATGTCTGGGAAATCCACCGAAGTTGAGCCTGGGCTGGTTAGGCTACAGTCTTCTGGAAAGTTCTTAGAGGAGGTAGAGAGAAAGAGCTGAGCCGATTGGTTCACTTTCCATTGGGTGAATCAGAATTGCTTGGGTGGATCAGGCAGGGGGAATGGAGTTTTCTGGGATCCTCAGTTTAACTTGGATACCCCTGCAATGTATGCTCCAGTCTTGGGGAGCAGTGGTAGCTCCTGGGTCAGACCATTGTGCCTTCAGAATGGCTCTTGGAGTCTCTGAGTTCTGAGGTGAAGCCTGGGTGGAAGCTGTCCTTATACCTTGAGCCTTGGAGCCACTGAAAGTCACCATTAAACTGCAGACAGAAACCATCATGAAGTGGGTTCCCCATAGGAAGGACTTCCTAGAGTAGATAGTCCCCGCATAAAGCATACTTGACAGCCAAGACGAAAGAAATTTTCTTATATGAGTAATTTCATCTGTCAAAGTTGTTAGAGGCTTTCTAATGGGGCCCAAATGTGATTATTTAAGAGCTATGTCATGATAGTGGCTAATATTTGCTGGAACTTTGTAGTGTCCAGAGCAACCTTAGTTGATCCTCTCTACACCCTTGGATGGTGTCCTCACCAGGTCTTCTCTGCATTTGCCCAAGGCCCATACTGAGAGAGATTATATGGCTAGTTCAGGGTCATGTAACGAAAAAGCGGCCAACTCCAGACTCTTAACTCCAGAGGGATTCCAGCTGAGACTTTTTCAGTGAATTTCCCAGACATGTCTGAAATGACACCTGCATACCTGAGATCTCTTCCTTCCAGTAGAACATCATAAAGTATTTTCCAGCCTAAGGTTAAAGAGGGCTTTTCAGGGAAGTATCATCTATGCCAGTTCCAGGGCTAAGGACCTGCGCTTAGAATAACTATAGAAAAAATGGCTCAACCGGCTTTCAAATCTGTTTGGTGGTAAAGCTCTCAAATTTACACTTTGTTTTTTGGGGGAAGGAGTTGAGACCTAGATTTTAAATTGAGATGTTTAGTGACTGGCAAAGGGTCATGGAGATTTTGTACTTGTGGAAGTGGAGGGGGGAATGGCAGAGGCTGTGGGACCCTGGGGTCCTTGGTACCATTGCTAGGAGTAGAATCCAGTCTTCAAACTCGTGGACCCAGGTTTGTTAGAGGTACTAAGCTCCCAGGGTTAGCAAAATCTGAAGCTCAGTTTCTGTTATTGCTTCCCTAATGATTCATAGATATTTGATTATTCAATAAATATTCCTAGGGTACCTCCTTTTTGCCCTTACTCTGAAGGTTTAAAGCAATCAGGAAGAGAAACGTGATCTCTGCTTTCACGGATTATTTATTGTCGGCCCTTGAAAATTTCCTCATCCTGGCGAAATCAGTGAAATAGTGTATACCTTTGGCCCATCTCTTCACATTAATTATTATGATTTAAATACTTTTTAATAGATAATGCCCGTTTTGAGTTTTTACTTTTGGTAAGAAGAATCCCAAAATATTTGAATAGGGTTTTTTTGGTCCTATGTAAAGTTACTATTTTTTCCTTTCATAATTATTATGTAATTTGTAGAAAGATAATTTGAGATTATATAAATGTCTCATTTCTCATCAAACTTTCACTACTCACTGGGGTTAGCTTCCATTGATGATTTCCTAATGTCACCCTTCTTTGAGAGCTTTTCCCTTCTCCCACTTATGTCTTGGTGAGGATTCATGGATTTTATTATTCAATAGGTTATGATTCGTTGCTCTCATTATTCTCAAATTATCTCAGATTTGTCTCATGGGACCCCTTCACGCTGGCTCCTCTGTCTTTTGGACCCACTCTTATGATTCCTTGAATGTTTCCTTACTTTATGGCACAAGAAGATGTTCATGGCCAGTCTTGTACTTTCTCTGCCCCAGGCTTGAAATCAGCCATTTCTTCAAGGAGCCCTGGTTCCTCTTAGGGGAGAATGGTTTGCAGAAACCAAGGTCGGGGTGCGGGAATGCTCTCAGCCACTGGGGTGTCAGTGCTCCCAGGCCTCTCAGTGGGCAGAGCTCAGGAGTGTACGAGTGTGTGCGTGTGAACACATAGTACTTTTTGCTCTAGCTCTGTTTACTTAAAATGTAGACTTTTACAAAACCCATGGAGGTAGGATTCTACTTAAATGCAAATGTGTAATTTTGCATACGTCACTCTCCTTTTCTCTTAATTTTGAACAGGTGGCTAAACCCCTTGTTTAAAATCGGTCATAAACGGAGATTGGAAGAAGATGATATGTATTCGGTGCTTCCGGAAGATCGCTCAAAGCACCTTGGAGAAGAGCTGCAAGGGTAAGCAAGAGGCAGGAGAGAGAAGGGTAAGGAAGGGTGAAAATTTCCATGTGTGGCTAGCGGTTTGGAGTGGGTTTTGCCTTCTGGCGTCCCTGTCCCCAGGCTTAGCTTCTCTGGGTGGCCTGGGGGAAACCTGTTTGCCGTGTCCTTGTAGAAGTGGAGGGAGCAGTGCCAATGGCCCTGGGTGCCTGTGGTCTGTCCCCAGGGTGGTATCACTGGAGCAGCTGTCTTGCATGTTTGTACTCACGTCTGCCTTCTTGGGCCACTAATGGTGCTTTAAATCCAGCAAAGCTTGGCGACGTTTCCTCTCAAGGCCTGTTTTTCTGGTGCTACAGATTCTGCACCACATCTTTCAGGAGCCCGGTGAACGGTTGGCTGGCACTTATGAGACAGTCGCAAAATGCCCTGTCATGAACCCTTATCTGTCATGCTGCCACCTCCAGTGTTTTACCATATGGCAGGGTATGCTCTTGTTTACCAAGTTTTTTTTCATTATAGGTACTGGGATAAAGAAGTTTTAAGAGCCGAGAAAGACGCGCAGAAGCCTTCTTTAACAAAAGCAATCATTAAGTGTTACTGGAAATCTTATTTAGTTTTGGGAATTTTTACATTAATTGAGGTAAAAACTTACATGGGGTGAATTATTTTTCAGTGTACACGGAGTCAACATGATAGCTATTAATCGGTATTGAAATGGGTGGAGACCAGAGGGGAGAGCCAGAGGCCAGATGGGTTTGGAAAGAATTTTAAGGCCTGAGGATGAAACATGGAAGAATGATGTAGCTCAGCAGTTGTATCTATCTTTAGAGTATCTGAAGCTCAAGGGCATTATTATTTTTCTTTTAACCAGTTAAAATATAGTGCCACGGGAGCATAACACTGAAAAGAAAAGGCATTTTATATCAGGCTAGGACACTGTTGGTGCTCAGTAAATGTTATAAATGCTAAGAGTCATTTCTAATCCAAAGAGGATCCTACACCCTCAAGGAGTATGTGCCCTGTGGTTTGGAGGAAGTAAATTTGGACCAGAGCCCAGAATAACATGACATTTTACAGGTGCTCAACAAATAATTATTAACCATGCCAAATCTGATAAGTGCTTTCCTGGGAAGGTATTGTCACCTCTCCCCTCCCGGGAAACAGGACTTGGGGCCTGCTCCTGGGCTGGTTGTGGTGCCCCAGAGGCTGGAGCTGGTTGGAGCTCCTAAGAGCAGCCCCCTTCCAGTGGGCCAGGTGCTGTGAGCTGAAACCCCCTCTCTGGAGGAAGTGTGACTTCACTGTGAATTCCAGTGCATTCATGCATACCCATTCTGCTTCCTCGTCCATGGTGCTGGGGTGGATTGCGGGTCAGGAGGTGGAGTCTTGGTAGCCTGGCGTTGCAGAGAGTGTACAAGTGGACATTCAGTGGAGCACTGAAAGTGGAAAGCCTTGAAGGCATTGGCCTCCATTACCTCGAAGGGCCTTCAGTAAGATGGTGTTCTGCCCGGGGGCACAGTGCCAGGTAGCCTCCCTGTTCTGATCTGCTGGCCGGGATGCTGAAAATGTCAGAAAGCGGAGCTCTCCAGGGTTCTGCACCTCAGGCGGCCCTGGAGCCTTGGTATGTGCCTGTGTCCCACACCAGGTGTCTGGTTAGGTGTGGTAGGAATGGGTAGCCTGAGAGAGGCCTCACACAGGTGTTGTCCAGCCACGGTTGGGGGTGGTTTGGGAAGGCTAGGACTTGTGGGGAGCTTAATATGGTGCAAGTGCTAGACTGCTGGTCTGTCTTTTAGGAGGTGGGTTACTAGGCAGTCATGGCAGAAAAGTGGGGAACAGAGCACTTGGCAAACATGAAATAAATAAAAATAAGAAATGCTCAGTAGTAGTACTAGCAGCAGTAGCAGTTACAGGGTCTTATACTCAGTGGTGTAGTAGTGGTGCCCCTCACAGCAGCAATGGTACTCTTCAGCAGTAGCAGCATTAGGGTAGCAGCAGCAGGTTTATGAGTAGGGCCCACACTCAACAGTAATAGTAGTAGCAGCAGCAATACTAGTAGTAGTTGTAGTAGTGATAATAATAGTAAGTACTTGAAAAATATTATGTACCAGGAACTGCCTATATATCATGTTACTTCTGTTCCTTTGGCTGACTCAGTGAAGTAGAAGGTATTTTTATCATCCGCACTGTCAAGAAGAGGACCCAGTAGTTAGGTAATGTGTCCAGGGTCACACAGACATAAATGACAGAGCTGAGATTCAGTCTCAGGTGCTCTGACTTGTGAGCCTGACACCTCTAGCCTGATAGCCCGTACAGTGTTGTGAAGGCACATGGTGAGGACGTTGCCTTCAGGGTCTCAAGCACATGTTTCTTGAGCTTGGCCTAGGGATGGAAAGGCAGATGCTAAGAGCTCCCTGGGGCAGAGGAGCATGGCAGTGGGAAGTGAGATTGGGGATTATAAGTTAGGGCAGAGTCCAGGTTACTGGGTATCCCAGGGCCAGAAAGTCACAGGCGATGCTGGAAAGTGGCTAGGGCGGTGGCTAGGGCAGAGCATCGTGGTGCATTCAGGCTGACCAGGAGCCCTGTAAAGAGCTCAAATGGATGTGGTGTGCATACCCTGCTGCCCTAACTTTTTAAACATCCACGCTGTTAAGACACCATTCAGGGTCAGCTCCTTGGGTGGGCCGGGAGAAGGTCATGGTCTGGGATGGCGATAACATTGGGACTGTGATGTTCTGGGCAGAGGCCCAGTTTTGTGTTTTACTTAGCGAGAGTGCCTGGTTTCCTGCCAAGCGATGGTATCTGAACTTTTAGAAGCCTTTTGCTTGAATTGTGGAGTGGGTGAGCATTTGCTTGGCAAGATGAGGACCCCAGATTAGTTACTAATATACGGGCAGCTCTTCTGTTTCCCATTCGCCAGTGGCACCTGGCCTTGGGTGTGAGGGTTGCTTGTTGGCACTGTATTCACAACAGTATCTTGGTGGTTTATGGTGTAAAATTAGACAGGGGCCGATTATTCCCTACCTGAGCATGGTGACTAGCAGATGACGGTCATTTTACCTTTCTGCCTTTAACACAACAACTGGCAGAACATTTACTTCCAGTGCAGTGAAGTTCAGGTATCTAGCGGTCATCAGAGCTGAACTAGAAGTAAGTCTTCATTTTTTTTTCCCTCCCCTTGCAGTGAAAAGAAGCCTGAATTCCAATACAAATACTCTTCCTAGGCTTGCCTGTTGACATTTTGTTGTGATGGCAAAGTTAGAGAGAAATAATTTCTTAAAGTAAAGCTTAGTAAGGATCTGTTATATTTTGAAAATCATTTTTAGGTGCTATTTTAGGTTTCAGTCATTAAAGCTAGTTACCGAGTTAGAGTGAATGTTAGTTTTAAAATTGGTTTTATGAAGTGGCTTCTAATTTTGTGATCTTCTATCTTTTTTCCTTCTCATTGGTCTTTGTATTTTAGATACTGGAAGATCTAAACTCAACCTAGCATTTTGTAACAAGCAGACGTGTTTCCTTTGTGATCTCTAGCTCCTTTTAAATTCTTCTGGCGTGCAGAACACCTGCACCATTTATCCATGACTCCTAAGCTGTCTCCTGTTACACAGCCGAAACGTGAGCAGGGCTTCCTAGGCTACTGGCAGCAGCGCCAGCAGGAAGAGGCAGGGTGACATCAGCTCACGGGGGAGGCTTTCAGGACAGGATTTCAGAGTCGTGCAAACCTCTGTCCTGTGAGAACCGAAGAATGATCGTAATGCTCAGAGAAACGAGCGCTAGGATAATGGTGAACATGACGCTCTTGCAGGCAAATGCTAACTACAGCCTAACAGCTGGCAGATCCCCAGCAAGCCTGTCCCCTGGGTGCCCTTCCACCAATCGGACTGAAGCAAGTCTCTACCCGCCAAGGCCCGACCATGAGCCATCATTCCTGGGGTCATTTCTTTGAGAGCAGTCTCGCCTGCTGGTGTGTAAGGTTGGGGACATCAAAGGAGCCAGTGTGGGGTCCCCGCCCCATCCTCTTTCCCCTAATAGGGGTGAGTGGTGGGGGGTTAGGTCCTATTCCCCTGACCCTTGGCAGATGGGCCCAGGCTGCTGCTGGCCTTATCCAGTGACTTGGCCTTTGTCCGAGGCCACTTCTGTTCTGATTGTCTCTGGTCCAGGTGGAGGCAGTGAAGCTCTGGGAGGCAAATGTCTGAGTAAATCCTCACTTTGGAACTCAGCTGATCAGCAGGAAGTAAACAAACAGAATCCTGCAAGTTCCGCAGGGGTATTACCCTTTACTCAGGGCTGATTTCCTGAGAGCCCTACTGGGCCTCTGCATTTCTCAACTCTTTCTTCCAAATATCCCTCACCCTCTGCTCAAGCCAGGAGGTCAGGGAGTAGCTGCTGGTGACAGAGATATTGTGGGCTGGCTACCGAGACGACACAGTAAGGCGGGCAGAGGAAGCACTGAGAGCAGACAGACCTGCAGAGCAGATTGTTTTATCGACCCTGCTGGTTCTTGGGCGCACTGCGTTCGTTTAGTAACAGTCACAGTGACAACCCTGAGTTATTAACATGGGTAAATACTTTTAAGTCCGTTTTCTTTAAAAAGTCAGGGGAGTAGGTGACTATTTGAAAAATGTGGTTAGATAATGGTTAAGAAACAAAACAAAACAAAACAAAATTCGGCTGAGAAGTGAAACTTCTGACTACCAGGAAAACTTGGCCTTTGCCAATGACTTTTCATAAGCTTCTTGTTCTGCCATACCTGTAAGCGGCAATGGGAATTTGCAAGGCCTCTGTGAGAACCGGCCTCTCTGCCACTGAGAATTCAATAGGTGTCTTCCGATGACTTACACCTATTTTTGCGCTGTGGTCTCAGAACACTTTCAGTTGTCATGGCTCATTCTGTTGTCCCTTGGGACTCCTTGGAGCTGTACACCACAGATGTTGCTGTGGCTTGGGTTGTGGAGGCTTGGGAGGGTATGTGGCACGCTGAGGGGCATGTGGCTTACAAGTGGCAGCCCTGTTCTCTGATTCATAGGTCAGCACTCTTGTACCCTATCCTGACACTTGCTCTCCCACTGTTGGGGTCAGCGAGCTTGAGAGTAGGTGTTTTGTATAACTCCAGCTCTATGCTCCTTGGTCAACTGCTTGACATGAGGTCCAAGCTTCATGTGGTGTTTTCCTAGGTTTGTGAGAACATGTCAAAAATACAAAAATAGAATAGAACAATAAGCCCCTTTCTACTCCTAAACCAGCTTCAATAAGTATAAACTCATGACCAGTCTTGATTCCCCTGAAGCCTTGCTCACTGACTGCCCCGGCCAAGATAGTTTCAAAGCAGTTCCTAGACATCACGTTTTTTTATCTGTAAATATTTTAGTACTTTTTGCTTATTCCCTTGTTTTCTGGTGTGACAAGATGTTTCTGGCGTGACAAGATGTTTCTGGCACACCTTGAACAGCTTTTGCCCTAGCTGTAGAATCAGCCAGTTTTCCAAACAGCCCTGACTTCTTTTACTGGAAATGGTATTTAGAGACTCTAGTCTGGGCACTAGAGGTGCTCATTGCTACAGGATTGGTTATTGTTTCTTGGCTTTTTTAATTGGACAAAGCCAGAAAGTTTATATATATTTAAAGATAAATGAGTATTTCCAAATCAGATTCAGGACACTAGTGTTTTTACTTGGTCTCTTTACTCTTAATCTATATCGCTTTTCTCCCTTCATCTATTCTCTTTTCTTCCATGCCTAATCCCAGTTCTCAGTGATGTCATTGTGATTATTCATTTGTTTTATCTTAAGAGTATCAACACTATCATCCATTATATGATTTCTGAAAACAATTTAAGATTTTTTTGCAGTTCATATTGTCCTTGGGTTAGGTATATCCCATAGGGAATGCATTTTCAAATTATTTTGTTTAAAACTATTTTCAATAGTTCCTTCTTTTGTATGGTTTTGTTAACAACTGGAGGGGTATATATTTAGTACATTTGTTTTATTTTTCTCTCAAGTTTTATGAATTGCTTTTTAAAAATTTAATTATTTTAATGATTTTGTGTAATGTTTTCACGGTTCCAAATTCAAATCTGCAAAAGTGGTTTTTTCTTTTCTTTTTAATTTTTTTAAAAGATGACTGGTAAGGGGATCCTAACCCCTGACTTGGTGTTGTCAGCATCATGCTCTCCGCAGTGAGCCAATTGGCCATCCCCACATAGGGATCTGAACCCGTGGCTTTGGTGTTAACAGTATCACACTCTGCCAAGTGAACCATGGGCTGGCCCCAAAGTGGTTATTTTTAAAGAAGGCTGTTGTCCTTGCCCTGTCCACTCTGTTCCCTTTTAGAAGAATGTTTAACATCAAATTATGATTTATCCTTTCATTTCATATATACACTGTTTTCCAAACATTGAATTTCCCTACTGTGCAGAGCGGAGGGTCAGAGTTCCTCACTGAAGGTTTTTCTTGGAAGTGTGACATAGGACAGCAGCCTTCATGAAACCTTTTGTGGTTTGTCACTACAGCAGGTCTCCAGCCCCTCCAGACTCAGACACGGGGATGGTGCAGGAGAGGAAAGATCACAGTGCTTCCATGGGGTTGGTTTCTGCACTCCAGAATCCCCCAGGGAGAGGGAACTCAGGCCTCACCCCAATTGATTGAATCCAGATCTGGGGGACGGCTCTTGTACATCAGTGAGCTCTTAAACCTCCGAGGTGCTTCTAATATGTAGGCAGGACTGGGTACTGCTGATTCAAAGAGGACTTCAGGTGTATCTGTTGTCTTGATGGTTATTATTCCTCCAAATTCACTGTTCTTCTTTCTTGTCTCTGGATCTTTCTTAATGCCAGCTTTGTCACCTGTTCCCCCATTTCTAAAATTAACTGTCTATTCATTTTTCCCACAAGCTCACCTTTTTTCTGTTTATATTTTTCACTCAAGCATGTTTTTCTTTGATAGCTTATTTGCAATTCCTGTGTTTTCTTTCCTACTTGTGAACCAGGGATGGTGGAGTTGGACAAGGAATGTCTCAAGTGCCTGGAGGAGTATGGTGGAGGCCCCGTGCCCACTGCAGATGTTTTAGCGTGTAGCCGTGTGATAAGTTACTTTAAGAAGCAAGGGGCAGGGCTCAAATGTCAGGTGTTTTAAGGAGGCCGAGTACCAAATACTCCATTGAGAAACATCTGCCTTCGAGTACTCTGAGACTCTGGTAGAACCTTGATCCGTGGGGTGTTGAGGTATCCATATGGGACTCTTAAGAACCCCATGTGGTTTCATAGTTGAGAATTCTTGTGAAATCCAGGGAACACATCTCTGTTAAGGCCTTCTTTGCAGGGTGTCAAATGGTGAATGGCTTGAGCAAGAGCGAGCTAACCTTCTCACTTGCTCTTCTTTTAAAGCCCACACAACCGTGCCCCTTACTCCATGAGTGGATCAATCCATTCACGAGGGCACTGTCCTCACAATCTAATCACCTCCTTAAGGCCCCACCTTTCAAATACCATAAGTGGATTTTCTACCTCTTAATACTGTTACAGTGGAGTTTCCAGCACATGAACTTTTGGGGAACACATTTGACCCATAGCAGACTGTACTTTAGTTGGTTTGTGGAAAGAGTCTTCACCAGGTCACAGTTTGGTTTCCAAGATGGAGGATTTGTGTGGTGACTTTTGATCTTGTTCCTGATATTCAGAAAGTTTAAATTTGTTTAGTCACAATTTTGATGATGAGTATTTTCCCCATTGTTTTGTTTCTTACTAGTTGAGGGTTAGGACCATGGACAGACAGGCCCCTGGTAAGGAATGGGCCACAAACTGGCATTCTCATGAATGAGCCTGTTTGCTTGGTTGGATTGTTAAATGTTCCCTCTTCAGCAGGAAAATTTAGACAACTAGGGAGTAGTGACCTACCTTCATTTTGCACTCTTTTTCACTGGATTTGTTGCATCTTTTTTTTTTTCTTCTTTTTGGGGGCTGGCTGATACAGGGATAGAACCCTGGACCTTGGTGTTGCCAGCAGCACACTCTAACCAACTGAGCTGACTGGCCAGCCCCTGTCGTTATTTTCTCTGATGGGTGCCACCACTCTTACCTTTCTCTATTTGAGTCACACCCATGTGAGGCTGAACTGGAGAGCTGCGTATCAGGCAACAGTGACTCCAGAGACCATGAGAGGTTACAGGAAGGTTTGGGACGGTAGGAGTTAGCACTGGGCTTCTGGCTGGTGGTGCAGGTTTGTGGCTTCTGGCTGGTGGTGCAGCTGCTAATCAGGCTGCCCTGGGCCACTCCAGGGTTGGGGCTGCCCATGTGCACGGTTTGGTGTTATTGCTTCTCTGTGTAAACCTACAGATTTTCATCTCAGTAAACTGTAGATAGTCTGTGTTCTGACCCACTGTATTAGGGGCTCTTCTATAAACTCTTAATGCCTCTTGAGATGAATGAAATGTAACAGCAAGCCTCTTGAGTTCTTGATATCTGATCGTCTTACTCAGAATTCAACTAAATAGTGTTTTCTTTTGTGTAGAAGATGGAAACACCCATGACCTCATGGAAGGCAATGTGGTTGGTGAAGTCTGAGTGTGTGCATGTACAACAGGATGGGAGTGTCGGGATTTAGCGTCACGACCCATTTGAGGGATGAGGATGTCTTGAATATTCTGATCGGGCACAAGTTGGTTGGGAAGAAAATGTGTATTAGTTTCCTTTTTTTAAAATTCTTCCTCTATTTCCCTTCAAATAGACAGAAAACAGCTATAAAAAGCAAACCTGTCATTTGTTTACCATGTCTTTGTTAATAAGGAGGGATTGCTTAAAACGGTAACCTTGTTTCAAAGTCAAGTTCTTGAAAGATTTCCAAACTTTTGGTATTTCGTCTTTTGAGAAGTCAGGAGGAAATGATGTCAAGGGCCTTTGTGTTTCCTTTTGGTGACTTGGATTTGCAATGAGAGTTTGGTTTTCTTTGATGGGGGAGGAGGGTCCCTTATAAAGGGTTCACCAGAGGGAGGAAATAGGCTGGGTTTGGAGTGGCCACTTGGCAGGGAGAGGTGGACAAGAATGTGGAGGAAGGCTCCTTTGCCTGTTGTGTTGTGTGCTCAAGCAGCGTTTTGCTGTTTCTTTGCTTTGGTCTTGGGGGATAAATTTGCTTTCCCTCTGTCTTGTTCAGAAGGTGAGCCCCAATGCCTCCAGCTCATTGGCGTAGCATTTTAATTTTTGCCTTGGGGAATAGGTGATGATTAACATTTCTTCAAAATGGGCACCTTCGGTGTATGGTGGATAGAGCCACGGCTGACGGTATCTTTTAGCCTGACTTCTGCTGCGTTGAAATTTTGACTCCAGACTACCTGAGCCAAGGTGGCAGTACTTGGGGGCAAATCTCAGCTGCGAGGGGGTAGAGACATATTAGAGCAACACCTACTGGGGCCCAGAGCCTGGGAACCTACCAAAACTGGTTCCATTTTAATAATGTACCAGAAGCCAGACTTGGTTCTCTTGGATCTACTGATACATGGAGTTTGGGTTAGGAACGATTGTAGGGTTCTCTTTTCTGATCCGTGATTGTGCCAGTTTCTCAGTTCATAACGTCTCTTAGAGGAGAAGGGAATGGCCAGGGTGTGCCTCCCATCAATGAGCTGTCCTAACTTTCCTTTGGGCTTAGACTGTGAGAGTACAGAAGTGGGCACAGTGCCAGCTGGGTGGCCACATGGAAGCCAGTTCCTTTGGCCATTGTTTTCCTTATTCATCTCAGGCCAAAACTTATTTGGTAGTTTGCCAAGTCCATTCTATTTATTGATTCATTTTTTTAGGCAGCTGGCTGGTGCGGGGATCCGAACCCTTGACTTTGGTGTTACAACACCGTGTTCCACAGAACTGAGGTTATCAGAGGGTGCGGGAGGCAGAGGGAGGGTTAGCGAGAAATTGATAAAGGGCCACAAAAAATGATTACGTTGTGTAATGTTGAATACACTAATCCTGATTTGAGCATCACATTACACACAGGTATTGATATTCAACGCCATACCCTGCAATTATGTCCAATTAATTATGTTCAATAGAAAACAAACACATCACGTTCTAACCAATTGAGCTAATCAGCCAGTCCGCCAAATGCATTTGAAAGCACTGGTTTCAATATTTATTGAGCATCCACAGTGTACTAAAGCTTTGTTGTCTTTGAACTTATAATTTTGACTTCAGGTTAAAACTGTTATCTACTTGTCTTTAAGAAGAAAGTTGTTCTGTTTTTCTTTTCAGTTAGTGATGAGTGTCATACTTTGTCAAAGTGCCTTTTTAGCACGCTAATAGAAATGAAGCTTGTGTTGAGAAAAATTGGTGTAGTTTGTATTTCTCATGAGGCTTTTTTTTTTCTTCTTTTAGGAAAGCATCAAAGTAATTCAGCCCATATTTTTGGGAAAAATTATTAATTATTTTGAAAATTATGATCCCACCGATTCTGCAGCTTTGCACACAGCTTACGCCTATGCCTCGGTGATGACCCTGTGCACGCTGTTCCTGGCCATACTGCACCACTTGTATTTTTATCACGTACAGTGTGCTGGGATGAGGCTGAGAGTAGCCATGTGCCACATGATATATCGGAAGGTAAGTGACACCCAGCATCACACATGCACCTCACCTGAAGCCTCAGAAGCATTGTGGGCAAGTTCTATGTTGATTAAAAGTTGTGTAAATGGAATCATTTAAACCTTACTAGACAGGCTTGCTATTTGCAGCAGGCTAATTGTTTTTTTCTTCACGTAAACTTCCCCAGTATATAATGAAAGTTTTCTGTTGCTATCAGCTCATGGCTGCCTTTAATAACAGGCTGTTGCAAAATACTAAATGTATAATGAAATTTAGTTAGAAAGTAAATAGCAAATTGATTTTGGTGTTTACATGCCCAAATCGCATAGTTGTATTTATGGGAATTTTGTTGTTGTTGTTCATTAAAACCTTCATTTACATCAAAGATGTATTTAAAAGTGAACTTCAATGAAATTGGATCTATGAAATTAAATCTAGGAGAAAAGGGTGTAATTGAGAAAGAAAATTATTATATTTTAAAAATGAGCCATTTAATCATATTCAATATAATTTTGTTAACTGAGGAAAAATACGTATGGAATCCATGGCAAGTACAGGCTGTCTTTCTATTCCAAAGCTAGTAATGGTTGTTTTTAATGGTATTTAAGAAAATAGTTGGATCTTTGGAATAACACTTTTTTTTTTTTTTCCTTTTTGTCTTTTTTCGTGTCCGGCAACGGATCGCAACCCTCAGTGTCGCGCCCGTACCGGACCGGGACCAGCAACGGGATCGCAACCCTCGGTGTTGCGCCCGCACCTCGCTCAGCCAGTGAGCGGGAACCAGTCTGTGTGTGGGATCCGAACCCTCGGCGTTTAGATTGTTTTTAGTAATTTTGGAGAAAACAGAGTTTTTCTATTTTATGTTGCCTTTCATTCAAGTTGTTTTTTACATAATATTTCCTTTCCCTTTACTGCAGTTTTCATGATAAGACCTGATTTGGTATATTCAGTGCTTTTTGTAGTGAAAAATGCCATAGAATTATCCCATAGTTTGCCTTGGTCTTAACTGTTGTAAAAGGAGTGGATTTCAAGTGCCTTTTACAAAGGAGTTGCCATGGAGAAGCCAGTGTCAGGAGCTAAAGGACTCATTGTGAACTCCATCCTAGATATCTCCTTGCCCTGGGCTTTTTTTGTTTGTTTGTTTTTTAAATCCTCATTTAAAGATAAAACCAGACAATTTAAATTTAAGCATTGCTGCTTTTTATCTAGAGCTTCTGCTTATTGTGAATTACTTTCTTAGCAAAATGCAAGGTGTCTTCTTCATGTATTTCTTTAAGTAGATTCTTATTAATCTTGGAATTATGTGAATCCTAGAGGCTTAGTGACTTACTATCTATGGTAGGCTACAAGTACGCCTGGTTTCCTCGCCTATGACATTGAAATGGTAGCACTGCCGGTATGCTGTAGTCGAGGGGTCTTCATTTTTTTCTCTGCTCTTCCTCCGTCCTCCATCTGCCATCGTCAATATCTTGTTTATTCTACTGCAGGCCCTTCTACCATTTAGGAGGAGAATACTCAGGTTTCTCTATAAATTAGCTAGATTTTTGTTTTCCCAGATTATGCTTAGTTCCAGGAAATACATGGGAATTTCATTAACACCCCACTGTGGAAATCTTAAACACTGAAGTCAGGTCCAAGGTGCTGGTGCAGTCAAACAAAGCTCTTTGCACAGGTGAGCTGTTGTTCACCTGTTTTTCTTCCTCTTTCCAACATGCTTTGGAAAGTAGCCTTTGGGAAATCTGATCTAATTTAGCAGATTAGCTTACCTGAATGCAAATATCTCAAAGGTATTATTGCTAGCTTGATTATCCTACCAGAATTGTCTCTTTACAAAGTTAAGAGTTGCTTGGGTTAAACCATGGACTTAACCCGAAATTCCAGAAATGTGGGAAAGATGAGTATCCTCATGCACTCCCTTATACCTGGAAACATGCCCAGGTGAAGAAATAAGACGCTTCCCATCACCTGTGTGCTGTTTCCTTGGGGTATAGAACCTGGCCCCACAACGCAGCTCTGAAAGGCGCCTCTGTAGTTCATGCTCAGGCCCCACCTCCTAATCCCTTATCATGGGAGGAACCAGGTTGGGAGTGACAGATGGGAGGACTGCTGAGCTCATCAGCATAGGTTCTGGTACTGAATGGTCTCATGGGATGTATCATACCTAACAGCGGGTTGTCATTTATTTATCTTTTCACAGCTTTGGTAAAATTACTTTTGGCTTTTCATCATTGATTGTTTTTTTAATTGTAGTAAAAAATGCACAACATAAAGTTTACCATTTTAACTTTTTAAAGTGTGTAGTTCAATGGCGTTGAGTGTTGTGCAACCGTCACCACCATTCATCTCCAGAACTTACTCATTTCCCAAACCGAAATGCTCTCTCCATTGAACAATAACTCCCCCTCCCACTCTCCATCATGCTTCTGAAACTTTCCATCTCTATGAATTTGACCACTCTAGGTTTCTCACGTAAAAAATGGAATCACGCAGTATTTGTCATTTTGTGTATGTCTTGTTTCATGTAGCCTAATGTCTTCAAGGTTTGTTTATGTTGTGGCATATGTCAGAATTTAGTTCCTTTTTTTTTTGTCTTTTTGTCTTTTTGTTCCGTGTCCGGCAACGGATCGCAACCCTCAGTGTTGCCCCCGCACCGGACCAGGGACCGGCAACGGGATTGCAAACCTCGGTGTTGCTCCCACGCCTCGCTCAGCCAGTGAGCGGGAGCCGGTCTGTATGTGGGATCCGAACCCTCGGGCGGCGGCGCTGCCGCGCCTCCTAGGCGGCGCACTATCCAGAGCGCCCCCCGGCCGGCCCCCCATTTAGTTCCTTTTTTTTTTGTCTTTTTGGCGTTTTGTTCCGTGTCCGGCAACGGATCGCAACCCTCAGTGTGGCCCCCGCACCGGACCCGGGACCGGCAACGGGATTCCAAACCTCGGTGTTGCTCCCACGCCTCGCTCAGCCAGTGAGCGGGAGCCGGTCTGTATGTGGGATCCGAACCCTCGGGCGGCGGCGCTGCCGCGCCTCCTAAGCGGCGCACTATCCAGTGCGCCACCGGGCCGGCCCAGAATTTAGTTCCTTTTTTAAGGCTGAATAATATTCCATTGTATGGATATGCCACATTTTGTGTATCCATTCATCTGTTGATAGACATTTGGGTTTTTTTCTGCCTTTTGGCTATTGTGAGCAGTGCTGCTATGAACGTGGGTGTACAACTATCTGAGACCCTGCTTTCAGTGCTTTTGGGTATATTCCCAGAAGTGGAATTGCTGGATCATATGGTGATTCTATGTTTTTATTTTTTGAGGAATCTCCATGTTTTTTTTTTTCCTTTTTTTCGTGTCCGGCAACGGATCGCAACCCTCAGTGTCGCACCCGTACCGGACCAGGACCGGCAATGGGACCGCAACCCTCGGTGTTGCGCCCACACCTCGCTCAACCAGTGAGCGGGAACCGGTCTGTATGTGGGATCCGAACCCTCGGCGGGAGCGCCACCGCGCTCCCAAGCGGCGCACTGTAGCAGTGCGCCACCGGGCCGGCCCTCCATGTTGTTTTCCACAGTGGCTATACCATTTTACATTCCCACTTGTTCATTGATTTTTCTGTTTAGCTTGAGAACTAAAGGAAGAGAAATTTTTATGAACTCTAACAGCCTTTTATTTGGAGCGACAGCTCCTGTTGGTGATGTTAAAATAGCTCATGGTGATCTGTTCAGGTTTCCCAGATCTCTGTGTTGTTTCTCAGAACTTTTACCAAATAAACTGTGTAACACAGGCTGTTTTTTGGTGAAGTCAATAGATCGGCGTGAAGAACACAGGCTCCTCATGGCAGTAGCGTTTTGAACATGGCACTTGCTCATTTTAGGAAGTCAAAACCAGTCACTAGTCATATTCGCAGCATGGGCTCCTGTAACCCTACAGTGGGATCAATGGCTTGCTTCTTGTTTTTACTTCTTGGCCAGCACACAGAGGAGAGAGGACTTGTCCAGCTTCAAGTCTCAAGGGGTTACTTCCCCAGCTTAGAGCACAGGAGATGGGGCCAGACCTGGGTCACAGGGTGGGTCCAGTCAAGGTGATCCTGGATAAAAGACAGCTGAGGGTCTCTAGCCCCAGGCACCAGTAGGAAGGGATCTCCCATTTGCCACCTCTGACCTTACCTTAGGGCCTGGTAGAATTGAGCCTGAATGCAGAAGTTCTGTAGACCTGGGGCAGGCAGGACAACAGTCCCGATAATCAGGATGGTCTTATCATCCCTACTTTTGTATTATAAAATACATAAGGCACAGAGACTTTTCTGTAAGATCTCTGGCCTAATTGGCTCCCGGTTTCCTGACTTTGTGTCCAGTTTGAAGTACTGAGGTGGTTCCTGCAGTGGACTGGCTGCTCAGGATTTTGACAGTGGCTGGGCTTGTTGGGAATGCCAGGTAAAGCCAAAGCAGTCACTCACGGAGCAGGATGACTGTGCTCTGCTGCCTTTTACATGGTGCAGACTTCCCTGCGGAACGTTGAAGTTTGGCCAGACTTCTTATTCTAGGTAAAACTGCTAGTCTTCACTTCCTTTAGAATCACCTCAAAGGCTTGTTGTGGGAGAGTATTTGGTCCATCTTGGTTTTAACTTCTAAGGTGAGTTGACTCCCTGCTAACATTCTAGTTTTCCTTTGTCATTGATTATAGACCTGTCTTATGAGAATGTATATGATGACATGTATGTACATATGTCAAGGAGCTGATTTCTGTCTGTTTTCAGAAATATTTGTACTTACTCCAGGTGCATTTTTGGTATGGCAGGAGTTATAAAAGCTCATAGGTGATACTAATAGGGTTCACATACATGTAGCTTAATTTTATTTTATGCCTTATAACCAATACCTTACAGTACATACATAGGGGTAGCATATTGGTTGCAGGTTTAATCCTTTGCAGTGGCAAATAACCCTTTCAAACTTGCAGGTATGATAAGCCTTAAGGATGGTAACCATTCATTAGTCTTGATTATCTTAGAATCTGAGCTCGGAATCCATA